ATCAATATATGAATATATATATATATAGATAGATAGATAGATATGATATAGCAATTAATGATATTTCACACACACATACATATATATATATGTATATATTTACACCAGCGGAGGACTATTGTGGGCTTCCAACATCCGACTGTTTGCTCGGAGGTCCTGGTCTTTTTCAAGGCCTTCCAAGGAATCTAGGAATCTTAAGGCCTGTTCTCTATTACGTCTCTTGATCACACAGAAGCTGTTCGGGTGCTCCGCATTAGCTTTTCCTCTGCATCAGTCCGGGCCCTAAGTGCCCCAACTTGAGGCAAGCTTAGTGCGCCGGTGTACCATGTTAAAGCAATCATTTGGCAAACTCGGATTGAGGATTCTCTAGGATCTCTAGGGCAGCAAGCAAAATTATTGAGGCTTAGTGAGCACTATGCAATTCATCAACTTGCTTTCACTCGACTGTGCAGCTATATATAAATATATTAATGCTCTCACTGCATTCTTAGGAGCGGATCACGTGCGGTGCAACACAAACTTTATGCACACCTACCGAAATAACTAACAGGTCTTGTAGGCCTCGGCAGGGCCTGGTCCAAGATTGGAACTACACCCTCATGTTGACAGTTGAAATGTAAAAGGCATTTTGCTTGCCCTGGGCAGACTCCATCCTGGCTTGCGCTGATCTGGGCAAAAACCGAGAACAAAAGAGATGGCCAAAGCTATACAAAGTCAAACCAGTCCATTGTCAAATGGCTCGGTGATTCAGACTCCAAGCAAGTGCATTTCCCTTCTGGAGGTTTTGGGGCTTGAATAGAGTTGCATGTCCCAAGTCTTCTAGTCGAGTCCAAAGAAGAGCCTGACTGGGATCTCCCTGGATGGGAAGAAACCACAAAAAAACTGTGTGACGTGTCACCCACTCCCTGTTTCTGGTGTGGCGGAGTCACGGCAACGCTGTACAGGATCCATAGCCTTCTGGCAGAGTCTTTCCATGTATTAAAAGGAGATGGTTCCCCTCAAAATTGTTCATCGGACCTTCTTTACCAAAAAACATTCACACGTGCCCCTTGCCTCTCAGCTTTGCTGCTGGCGACGTGGTTCGCCACTAGAAATGTAACAGCCATGACAAGTCCTCACAGATTACTGTTGGACACACGCTGTAGTTGAACAACATTACGTACTAACATCACAATATGTCATAATTCATCATACATAATGTCATTTAATGTCATGCCTTTCAAAACCACGTTGCCCAGTTGGGGGGGAGGCGTTAAGGCCTCAAGGAAGCAGTCTGCCCCAGCTTTGATCAACACCATGGGCTTATGAGCCGGTTGAAGGGGACAGGCCATACTTCACACAAGCCACCATGATGAATTGTGCAATGTAGACCTGGGCCGGAGTTGGCGCAGTTGATTTACGGCTCACCGGCTGACGCCGCTGACGCCTGTTCTGGTGCTGCCGTTTGGCACAGCTGTTTCGAAACGGCTGCCCGGCCCCTTCACCTGTGGTCAATGTTTTGTTCCAGCTTGAACACTGAATTGGGACTGAAACTGATACTGTACAATGTCCATGTCTTGGTAGAAATTGAGCCTGTACTTTCCTAGTTCCCCTTGAAGGGATCGAGCTTCGACTTGAAAGCCTGAGAAACAGGATGGATTGCCAGTCCGCACTGGGAAGTTAGGTTGGAATATAACTCTTACAAATCGAATCTTTCAATTCTTGATTGACGAATGCGCAAGTACTTCGATGGGTGAAGTGGCCACAAGTGTTTGCCCCAATGTCGTGTGGGTTGTTCACGGCTTGCGCTTCTGAAAAGTGTCTTCTGCTCCCGCCGAGTCACCACCCCAAAGGCTCCAGCCACATCTTGGATGGCTGTTTCCATCCTTGGCCGGCAGGGAAAGACCTTTGCACCGTGTCTTCCATGGGTTCAATGGGAGGAGCGCAAGCGAAAACAGGCAGAGGTCTTGGCGCAGTCGCCCATGGGCCGATTTGCAGATCAGCGATGCCAGCGGTTGCAGTGCGTGAACTCTCGGAAGTCGCGGGAGAAAGCAACCTTTACCGATAGCTCGAAGGGAGAAACGGGGGATTGATTGTTGGTCTAATAGTCCAACACATTTGTCAGAATCGTTTCGACACCTGCGCAAGCCTCACAAGCTGGTGGAAGCATCATGCAGGGAGGCACAAAATGAACGAGCCGCATTCTATCACCTTGATGATGACAGGAACTACATAAATCATTGGGCTGCTCCTCCGCCAACAGAACATGGAAAGGAAGTGTAAATCCAGTAATCTAGTCATCCATGAGTTTTGTTGGAGAGCAGCCCATAGAAGCCACATATAGTATCCCCAGGCAAGACTACGACGAGGCTCGGTCCTGCCCACTTGCCAGCATCACCATGAAAAAGGAATGAGAACACCAGCGGTGCCTTGCATCAACTGGCGGCAGTGGGTGAATCTGTCACTTTGGTGTGCGCTGTCACGGGGATCAAAAATGTTTGCACTATTTTGCACTAGCAGGTGCTGGCCCTAGGTTCTTCCTTGTACGACGATGAAATCAAATTTGCAACCGCCCCCCCCCCATTGGTATTTGGATGGTCCTGCCACCATATACCCATTGACCTGCACCGCTGGTCACACCCTCCGACGTCACATCGGCCGCATACGTCCCACCGCTCTTTCACTCCGTCCAGTGACGGCACTCCCGGTGAGCCCTGCCACGATGATGCTGAAGGCTTGAGCAATGGCAACGGTCAGGGAGAAGCCCACGTCAATCCCTCGGGACTAACGAGGCAGGGACCAGGGAGCAGGGACCAGGAACCAGGGGCCGATTTTGCTCACAAACATGGGTCCTTTGGTTTGATTATATAGTGGGATTACTTTGTCAACTGAAGGCGTCAAGTGTGGGCTTTCCCCAAGTGTCCCTACCATCAAACATAGAAACGGTCCAAATATACAGGACCATGGTACTCACCCACAGATGGTTTTTGATATGCGCTTCCGATCAACCTTGGACGTTGAAAAGAGAAGGAAACACCTGAACCACACATGCAGCTCATGAACGAAAATCTACATGTGTATGCAACATGTTGAGAATCTCTCACACTTCCGAAAATCACACTACCCACATAGCAGCTAGATGTTCGGTGTTTATTGTTTTGTATAGTTTTCTGGCATCCTCATGCAAAACTATGTATATATATATATATGCATACACGTGTTTAAATATGTTTCAATGACATTTACGTGCTGTATATCATATTCATTATATAAGCCCATTTATGATCATGTGTTGAAATGTATTCACACATTTATTGATCAACCTGCTTCCTGCATTTCATAACAAAGGCTGAGCAACTTTGGTAACGTTGCTTCCACACTAAGTCCACCACCCGACTCGAAGGATTGCCAGGTCCAAACGATTGCAAGCAGTCCAACTGCCAAGCCAGTTGTCAAGGACAGCAAGCAAGCCGTGCTCATCTCAGTACCTTGATTATGGACAAGACCCAAGCTGATGTCCAGTCCTGAAACCTCTATGACTCCATGCTGTTGTAAAACCGATCAGGCAATATGACCCATTGCTACTTGCAGTCCATGAAGGATAAGCAAGCTCGTTGTGCTGGTGCTTCTTGGTTTCAGTCTTGATGTTGCTTTGGAAGGGGGGAAACATGTGAGGAGAGCTGCAACATCTTAGCTGTAACATCTGATTATTTACTTTCAATGTCAGCCTACCCATTGATGAATCCAACTGCCATACCTCATCTACTTCATGCACCGTACCAGTACTACTGAATGCCCTTTGCTCGTTCGCCACCTGCTGTGGAAACCGAGGCGCACATCCAAGCGCAATATGTTGCTTTTGCACAGCTCCTGTTGGGATCCAAAGGAGAGTGCATCACAATTCAAGCCACAATCTCGAACACCGATACCAATACACCAAACCCAGTCAAAGCCCAGCATGACAAACAAATGCCAACACATGCCCAGTACCATTTACCTCCAATTACCAATGCCGCCAAACACCCCAAAATACAGCTACAACAACATGACAGAACATGACCATGTCCGGATGCATATCTACAAGATCGCGGCTCTCTGAAGGCTCTGAATACCTAGTCATATGCCATTTGCTCACATCTTTGCCTGCCTACTGCTGATTTCTGGTGCGATGCTGGCCTGAAGCAGCTGTCACAAAAGATGCAGAAAAAAAGCTGCTAAACCCCTGCGATGGCACCCATGTGAGATTGCTCGTGTCGTTAAAGAAGAGGCTTGCAGTCCGACCTGACAAAAATCGGTATGTCTGAGACTGAGCTTGTGTGGGGAACCTTAGGGCCCCCACAGCCCGGTGGACTGGGAAAGTAATGTACATAATTACGTAACCCACAAATATACCGAAACCATCCAAAATCCATTTCTTGGTGAGGTCAAACACCTGCATGAAATGCTCAAACTGAATCCGAGCACGAATGAATGAAAAGGATCGTCAAAGACGGTCTGGTCCTTCTGTCAATCTCGGAGGGTTCTCCAGGTCCGATGGTCATTTGATCTGCCGAAGCACGTTGCCCGAAATGGCTGAGGTCAGTGGGAGGAAGGCCATCAACAAAGTGTAGCGCTCCAAACCCACCAGCGACTTCAGCTCCTTCCGATCTAAGCATGGAGATTGGCTTCTTGGGATTTACACTCAGGACATCTCAGACCAGCAAAGTCTTGACGAACTTTAAAAGAAGAAAAACGATCAACTGCACAAATGAAGCCTCGAAGGAGTGACTGGTAAATACTGAAGGTTTTTGGTGATTTACCAGTTTCCTGCCGCACTTGGGCACGGAACACCAACTGAGGCACACATGCAAAAGACTTTTCAAACGACACATCTATTGTGCTTAACTGCGTTGCTATGGTGACTGGTGACACTTTGTCTCTGGCTTTGCCAGTAACATGTGACCATCTCGGCGGCATCTATTCACCGCTGAGGGATTGGAACGTTTGGGATCGGGGGTTGTGGGGGTGCCTGGACAGCCCAATCAGGCGGTTGGCCCCCCCTGCATCATTTGCAGCAATTGTTGTGCCTGTTGCTGCTCAAGCAGCCGTTGTTGCTCATGTTGCAGCAGTTCTTGTTCTGCTCCCGGCTGATTCTCGGGCAACAGGTTCTTGAGCAACACCCGTTCAGCTCGGTTTGGCACCAACAGCTGCTCCAACTGCTCGATCACAGCAATGGTGTCCACACCGTCCAGGCCAGCCAAGGCTTCAGCGTGACTGACGGGATCATCGAAAAACTGCAACAAGATTGGAGCAATGGAGGCTGCTGCTGCCTCTGGATCGACCTTCACCGCTTCACACAGCGAGCCCAAGCCTCCAGCCATCTCCAAGAGTGCGATGCCACAGCTCCAGGCATCGCTGCTGTGTGGCCAATAGGGGCCACCGAGTGCCATCTCAGGGGCCATATAAGGCATCTCACCACAAATTGTTCGGGATGTCATGTTCGGCTTCACCAACATGGCACTTTGGAAATCCACGATGCGCAGGTGCTCCCGGTCACTGCCGGCCAACTTGGAAACAATGAGGTGCTGCAAACAAATGTTTCGGTGGGCAATGTTCTTAGAATGCAAGTGAGCAACCCCACGAGCCACTTGCTCAAAACAGTTGTTAACTTCAGAGTCATTCATTCGCTGTGGCTCTCGGCCCCGTAGCATGTGCTCGACATTCCGACTGCCAGCAAATTCCATGACCAGAAAGAGACGTGAATTGCTATGAAGCATCTCCAAGCACTTGGCAATGTTAGGATGTCTGACAACTTCTCCCATGAAGCGATACTCTCGATAGATGGCCTCAAGCCTTAGGCTGCGAGTTGGAGCAAAATGACCGAACAGCCTTGGAGGTTAGATGAGGTTAGACTCCCAAAAGCACCCACAGCATACCTATATAATAATGCCTGGATTAATTACCAAATAGATCTGCCCCTTCAAATAGAAAACTCACCCTTCTATGGTGGACAAAAATGACATACAGTATATTATTCTTAAGGGTCAGGAACATCCCCGGGTCCATGACCTGTGACTTGTTAAAGACCTTGATGGCTACCGCTTGCTGCTCCTCATCTGAGGCCTGCAGTACCGTGCCCTTCTTACAAGGCAACCGGCAGGTCAGCCGGAAGTTCCCCACCGAATTGCCGGTCTCAATGATCTGACGATCCACCGGTCGGAACTCGGGCATCAACGCCTCAGGAATCTGCTGAAAGAAGAGCTCCGCATGCTCCTCTTGACATCTCGAAGCCTCCTCGGCGACGTCATAGTCGATCTCGGCATTCAGCATCAAGCGAGTCCGGAGCACATTCACCTCCCACATCGAACGTGATAAATGGATCGCCCTCTTCAAGGACACCAAGTCCCATTCTGGCTCAAAAAGCACATCATCAACTCCTGCCTGGAGCAATTGACCGTGCCTTCGTAGCACCACTTGGTTTGTCTCCATGTTGAGCTGCGTCATCTCCTTGGGCAACAAAAGCACGGCAATGATGCAAAGGTTTTCACATCTTGCGAACTGCGGGATGATCCTCTTAGCTTGTTCATGCTCTTCCTCCATTTCCAGCGTGCAGGGGATCACCACAGTGTTCACTTGGCTCACCGCCTTGGCGATCTCCGCTTCTGGTAGCAGGAAATCTGAACTCTCCAGTTCAGGCGCCAGCACTCCTTTGGGGATCTGCCCCCTCCAGGGCAGGAGCGTGACGACCACAGAGGTGCTCAAACTTTCACCTGCCAATTCTGCGAACTCCTCCACATCTGGATCATTCGCCAAGTTTTCACAGTAGTAATCCTCTCCAAAGAGCATCATGGGCCCCGCTTCCCGCTCAAACGCTTCGCCCTCCATGGTGGGAATTGGAGATTCTGAAGCAGGAAGGGTTGGGCCTTTGTTATTCACAGAATATCCTTCAATGCTTCTGCCGGTCCGATGATTTCTGTTTGGCGTTCTTGTCTCATGTGACTTATATACTGAGTGTAGGTGAAAGGTTCTGCATAGCCTAAATCATGGCATTGGCTTCATCTGCCCAAGAGAGTGCAAAGACCACAGGACAGGAACAAAGTGTCTTGAAAGCCATGAATGCGTTGACCGGCGTCTCTTTCTGGCGTCATGCCTTTTCTTACCGGCCATGCTTGGTTTACATTTGGACGCTGTTTTCTGTACAGAATTCCGGTTAGAAGATCCGCCTACAGCCCGTCCGTCCCATAACTCAGCTTTCATCTGGTCCGTCAGCCATACCCTCCATCCTTGGAGCCGCCAGTGATGATTAAGGCCACCGGCACTTCCTCAGACCGCGGGGGACGTTTGAAGCTCAGCACCCAGGGTTCTACAAGCTCCACGTTGTATTCATGTTAAAGAAACACACCATTTGTGTTCATCTGGCTCAATAAGTGAGCCTGCCTTGGGACGCGGGGAACAGTAGGGAATCCTCAGTAAAGCCTCGGTACTTGGTAGGGCGAAGTGGTGTAGGCGATTGGCCGGCTTGCATTGTGGAAGGGGCTCATTTCCCAAAAACTAGTCTGAGATCCAGAACATGTCCGGGGAGAATCATCCAAGCTCCTCGAGTCCTGGAGCATTCATAGAACAAAACAAGTTTTTTTTTTTTTTTTTTTGGTATTTATTCAATACAACAGTTTTTTAATACAAAGACATGTTGACATGTCCCATCTTCTATCTTCTTGAGGAGTCTTGAGGATGACCACCTGAGCCAAGCTGCCACTGCCAAGGTCACCAAGAGAGCCAAGAAACGTTCTGGGAAGGCTCGGCGGCAAGGACCCGCCTCGGTGGCGATCCATTTGGGGAGAGGTCCATAGATGCGGAGTAGCTGAACCAAACCCCAATTATCAGCCTCCCACATAGCGTATTAGCGTGCGCGTCAGACCCCGTCAGACCCTTCAAAGAGCTACAGCTCATCTGAATCCCCAACCCATTGTTGGACTACCCGGCATCTATCTTCGTGTAGCAACTTCCTCTCCATATCTTCTGAAACACATCTATGCCCTTGGATTGATCCCTCTGTGCACTTGGTAGTGCCCCTCGGAGCTATGACACATGACCACAGCTGAGGCCAGCTCTGTCGCATATGCATTGACTTTTGCCAGCTCCTCTTCAATGTCATCATCGCTTTGGGAGCGAATACTGCCTGGATGTTTGAAACCGAAGGCACGCCAAAGCAAGAATAAGAACAGAACCCTCAACGAAAAAGGGTGTACCAATCTCCTTAGACTACTTGCTTTGTGCTCACGAACGTGGTTGAACGTTTGCTTTTTGCGCGGGTGAATCTTTGTGTTCAAGGCTTATTCATAGATACATAAAACATACATTCTTTCGACATACTTTGGCCCCCCTCCAGGCTCCCCGACCATTTGAGTGTTGAAGTGTGATGTATGTGCATATATGCATAATATAATTACATACACACACATATATATATAATAGACTATATAATAGTATATTTCAAATTTTAGGTTGAATGTATGCGCCTGCACAACCCATTGCACCTTGGATGCAAATTTTTGCGTGAGAAACCTGCCCAAGACCCTGCTCCCATGGTAAATACATGTAAATACAGTCGGTACATGTCGGTACGAGTACAGTGTGCACTCTCTGATGGGGCACACGCTCCAAGAAGAAATGGCCCCCACAGTGATCCATTTCATTCCATATCCAATCTGCTGAAGACGCTCTCGATCTCAGAGTCGAGTCTGCGGATTCCATCCCACCTGGTTCGGCCAACGGAGGGCCCGGCAGGCGAAGATCGAGGGCCCCACGAGGGGTGACGATAAGCAAAAATGGGCAAACGAGTCCTGGGGAAGATGGGGAGCTTGGGTCAGGGCATTGAGTTCCGTGTCCACGTCTTTACCCAACAGGTTCTTCATGGTTCTTCTTATTATGCACCACCAAGCCGCCTATTGTTCAATTACCAGGGCCATCTCTGCCATATCATGCCATATCTATCCATATTAAATCGCGGCCAACTCCCAAGCAAGCTGTCAACTGCCCCTCTTGTTCAGGCCGCCCAAGCCACAGGTTCTCCAGCTTTGCGGGCTCGCTGTAGTTCCGGCGCAGTTTGGACAAAGGGTTTGGAGGGGGAGGGCTCGGGCTCTCGCTGGACGAGGCCTCAACGGGCCAACGAAACCCATACATCCCAAACACTCCATGGGGCTGCCAGCCTACATTGGGGTGGTTTCAGGGGTCAATGTAGGTAAATATGTTCCGCCCCATGGAGTGTCGCATATTAATGCCGGTCCTCAGGTCGGAAGATGCTATGAACATGTGTTTCCCAATGTGATCTTGCATCTTCACAACTGCTCGGATGGACATCTCCAACAGCTCTAAACCGCACGAAACATCCTTATTTGGGTCCATGCTGCTTCCATCTTGAGCCGCAAATCCAGGAATGGCTCCCGAAGCGGTTCTCTCATGGCAGAACAGCCAATGAATGTAATCTACTTTCACTTTTGGGAGTCAACTTGGTGTATCCCAGTGATACTATGTTACCATGACAATCTTGCTTGTGTCATCTTGTCTCTCAGCACTTGAGCCTCAAAAGCGCTTTGTTCACGAAGGTGTTTATGCCGTCAACATAGGGGCTCTGGAGCGCACCAACCACTCTTCATGTGACCCCTCTCCGCCTCCGCAATCTGTAGGACCTTGTCTCTCCTGGAAGGCTTTAAAACGGAGGTGGACCGTGACCCAGGTAGAGTTTCACATACTTGCTGCTATGAGTAGCACCTATACATTCACTCTTGCCCCCCTCAAAGCAAATTCGACATCAACTTCCCAATCTTCAGATCTGAAATTCATAGAAATTCAAAATCCCCATGAGGTTCTTGGCAACACAGCTTCTGATCATCATCATCACCATCACCATCACCATCACCATCACCATCACCATCACCATCACCATCACCATCATCATCATCATCATCATCATCATCATCATCATCATCATCATCATCATCATCAATAGTCTATGTCACCACTCTTGAGCCTCCACAAGGCTTCCGGTGACATTCACCACTAGCTGCTTCATTGTTTCCTTTCAAGTCCGACCCCTGCCCAGCAAATATGGAAGAACCATCCATGCTTGATTCTGTAAACAACTTGGAGTTTGCACATTTGCAACCACTATATTACATATACAGTAAATATATATCCTGGAATATTAAACCAACACTCGGGTGGGATAGGGGAACAATCTATGTACTTGAGAGGGGGGGAGACACGAAAGGTAGGACAGCGGGAAGAGAAGAGGAGAACGCGAGAGGCAGGAACAAAAATGCAATGTTCGACATGGTGATTTATCCCCTCGGAGGCGACCTTTCGTAAATATATGTTCATATGCACTCTAAATGTTCAAACATATGCTCTCGAAATGTTCAAAAAAGATTCTTAGGAAAACAAACTTGCCCCATGGCTCAGATCATCGGTGAGCATTGAATCGGAGCATCATAGGATTTGAACTATCCTGAAACCACAAGAGGCTCACGAAGACGTTCCCAGGAGAGAAGTGACGTGCTTCACAAAACAAACTCTAGGTATGTATCTCCTCGGGGAACACCTTTCGTAATTAGAATTTCATATGCACTCTTTCTGAATGTTCAAGAGGGCTTCAACTTGCAACTATCCTGAAATCATGAGAGGCTCACGAAGACGTTCTCCAGGAGAGAATTGAATTTAGAGGTGGGGGGGGGGCTGTTTTTAGAAAATAAATTGGGGGGGGGGGGGTTGAATTGAATGATCAATTATTAGACCCGGACGCGCCAACACTTGCTTCGCAAAACAAACTCAAGGTATCCCCTAAAGGGCTACCTTTCGTGATAAGCAACTGGTCCTTTTGCAAGACCTTAGAATGCTGTGAGTGGTTGAAGGATCTTCTTAGTTCTTCGCGTGTTTTTTACATAGAAATCATAGAAGTTTGGGGGAGCGCCCCGACGTGTTCAGTCACATGACATCAGAGTCATTGAGTCGCAGCTGCAAATTATGGCATTGGCCAAACACCACGGCGCCTCTGCCGTCGCTTGGTTTCAATCATCAAAAGTGACAGCGCAGACCAACAGGCACTCCTGCAAACAAGTGCTGTCATACGGAGCTTTCTTGGAGCTTTTTTGCGAATTGAAGCAGCAAAGCAAGAAGAAAAGGCGTATGGGCCAGTGTATTGGGATGTACAGTATTAAATTAGGTGCATGTGTCTGGTTTAAACCTTGAGAGGCGGTCTTTGCACCACACGGTGTTCAATCTTCCCACATTGTTTCTCACATCTCCTTTCAACCTTCGGCAAAAGAATCCCAATTGTTCAATTCTTTTGATGGCAATCCGGCGATCAGATCGCCGGCAACTACGTGGGTTGCCATCAAATCGGAATGCCCGCTACTTGTACTTGCGTCCCATGTGAAGCAAAACACTCCGTAACTCTAACTCCAAAAGCTTCGCAAGAAACACATCTCAAAACACAAGACTCGCGGCCCATCACGGTCCCGTGTCGTTGCGATTGGTCAAAACCCATGAGTAGTTGATGTCTGCACGCCTGCAGGCTGAAATCACTGCTGAAACCCCATGCGCGGAAAACTGTGACTGCTACAGCCTTGAACAAAAAGACCGACAAATCACCCACTGCATATAGTTCGAGATGATTCTTTACAAGGTTCCATAATGGTTGGGAGGTGAAGTTTGATAACTTCCTCTTCTCTTTGAAAATCACCGGCGCTACCACTTGAAAATTGGTGACCACTGACCTCGTCGAAGGTGGCACTCAAAGGCAGGGCCTGTGCCGGGATGAAGTCAGAAAACAAAGGTTTCAATTACAGTAGAGAGTCATACCATTTGATACCCAGCGCTCTTTGATT